CACGGGTGCATATCTCGATCGCCATGTCGAGTACGGCCGCGGCGCGGTCGCCATGGCCGTCCTTCTCGACTCTCTCGCCAACCAGGGGCCGAAACACAGGATGAGCGAGAAAGTGGGAGACGTACGGCACGCAGTACCTCTTCCAGCTCATGGAGTCCATCTCGTCGTCTAGCGCGCCTGGTCCTTGGTCATAGGCTGCGGCCCCACGTCTGGCGAGGGGGGAGTGGCGTCTCGCTCCCATGGCGGCAGCAGACTCTGGCGTAGCCGCTGTGCCGCGAGCTGCGCCGCGCTGCGGGAGCCGCCCTTCCCCTGGTAGCCCCGCGCGCCGCTGGGGAGGTAGACCACGTTGCCTTCGACCAATGTGACGACCTTGGAGCGCCTGGCCCGCGGAGCTCCCGAGGCCGATGTTGCCATCGTGGATGGAGTCGACGCGGGCGGCCCCGCGGCACGGCGCCCGCGACCTCGCCGAAGACCGCGGCGAGCCAGACGCTTCGCAGCGAGACCCCCACCGTTCCAGGGAGAGAGCTCCAGCCCCAGAGAGGCGCCTCGGAGGCCTCAGACCTTGGCAGGGGAGCCCCCTGGGGGCCCAGCCACTCGCTCCAGGATCCTGGCCCTGGCACCCGCGTCCGAGCGAAGCCTTGCTGAAGGCTGTGGGCCCCCCCCTGCGGCGGAGCCGCTTGCGCCTGACCCAGGAGGGTCCCCAGCACCACCAGGAGCCTCGCCAGGCGCGCCAGGTGTGGGGAGGGCCCGCCCTTGCCCTGGGTTGGAGTTCCCGGTGCCCCTCCTCCTTTGCCCTTGACCGCCGCCACCTCCGCGCTGTGCGCGTAAGGCGCGGCGGAGCGGGGGCGCTTGGACTCGAGGCGGCCGTGCATGTTCTTGAGGTCTGCGAGTATGGACTTGATGGATCCGGCAGCAGGGCCGAAGTGCTTCTGAACCTCTGACTGCAGCTGGCCGACGAAAGAGGCGACCTGCTGCTCAAACTGTTTCTCCTCCTCTTCGGAGATGTCAGGCCCCTCGAGGTCGAGCGTCGCCCTCCGACTGGACCTCCATGACCTCTTCCTCCTCGGAGAGCAGCTAGGAGAGGTCAAGGGCCGCCCCCTTCTTGGCCCGCTGGGGCCGCCTTGGCGTAGGCCGCCTCGGCCTCGGCGTCGGCTTCGGCGACCTCGAGGATGGCCTCCTCCAGCCCGCGCTGCTTGCACTCCAGCCAGTCCTCCGCATCCTTGGCCGCCTGGTGGGGGCGCTTGAGAGCCGCCTCGGCGCGCCCGCGCCCGCGCCCGCGCCCGGTTGAGCGCCACGTCGGGGTGTTGCTCGGGCGGGGGCGGGACCAGCGCGAGGGCAAGCTGGTCGACCTGGGCGACGGTGACCCGATCCGCATCGGCTGGAAGGGTGGCCCGCAGCTGCCGCAAGAGCTCCTCCAACGAGAGCAGGGCGCCCTTGGTCCCCTTGCCGCGGGGACGGCTGTGGGCGCGTTCGCTGGCCCTGCCTGGGCCCCAGGCCCCCGAAAGCGGGCGCTCTTGCGACCTAGCTGGCGTCAAGGCCCGCCAGCAGCTGTGACACTCCGCGTTCTTCCTCCAGTTCCACTAGTAGCCACACGAGCGGCACTTGGCGTACTGCTGCTTCTGGCCTCCAGACTGCTCACCCCTGTTTCCATTGCCGCCCATGCGCAATGCCGAAGGACTGAGAGCCCGCCCCGCCAGGAGCAACGAAGAAAGCGCCCACGACTGCACGAGGGCTCGCCGGGGAGAAGGTGGCCAAAAACGCCTGCTATGGGGGCGGCTCGCATCGAGCCAGCCCCTCGGCTGCAGGCAAGTACGAAGCCGCAGGGCCACGTTTTCGTACTTGAGCCAAATGGCTACGGGGAGGAGGAGGAGGAGGAGGAGGAGGAGGAGGAGGAGGAGGAGGACGAGGAGGAGGAGGAGGAGGAGGAGGAGGGCAGGAGCAGGAGCAGGAGCAGGAGAGGACGAGGAGGAGGAGCAGGAGGAGGAGCAGGAGGAGGAGGAGGAGGAGGAGGAGGAGGAGGAGGAGGAGAGACGTTAACAGCAAGCTGTCTCGCCTCCCTATCCTCATTCCTGGTCCTGCTGTTGACTGCTGCTGCTCTCCGCCCGTTGCTGGCCGTCCCTTCGTGCTCTCGTCATCATCCCACGCGTGCGAGCGGGGAACAGTCGCAGCGACGCCGACCTCGCAGTCGGCTTCGCGAAGTGCGTCGCTGCTAGGGTCCAGTACCTGGGGTGCGAGCACAAACGCGGGGAGGACAGGAGGGTGCGCGGACGCGAAATGGGGGGCACACACATGAAGATACGCGCGTAGACAGGTGAGGCAAGACACGTGCAGGGAGAGGATGAAGAGGAAATGACCAGGATGGGAAAGCGGAAGGGAAGGGGGGTGGAGGGGGGGGAGGGGAGGAGGGGAGGAGGAGTGGACGAGGGCAGGAGGAGATGAGGAGGACAGGGAGGCGAGGCGGAGAAGGGGAGTGGACCAGGGGGGGGGAGGAGGAGAGGAGGGGTGGACGAGGGAGAGCCGCCGAAGGAGGGAGCGTGGAGGCGCAGAGAGGGGCGGCGAGGCGGACGTGACGGGGGCAGGGGCGCGTGGACAGAGGAGGGCGGGAAGCATGGAGCTCGGCCACGCCCCCAGGGGGGAAGAGCGAGAGAAGGCAGGCCCTCTCAGAGGGCGGTGGGGCTCTAAGATTCAGCCGGGCATGTCCTCCCACAGGGGGATCTTGGACGACAAACCAAACATATTCAAAGCATCTTCAGAAATAAGCAACACATGCCGAAGAATCGTCCCAGACAATTTTGTTACTACCTTTGAGTGCTCCTCCTGTGGGAAGACAGGTCCGACTAACTCTGAGAGGAGGCCTGGAGAGCTTCTCGCAAGGGCGGCGGCCTGCCTAAGGCCATCCGAGGAGGCCCGCCCCCGCGGGCCTTCCCGGCTGGTCGCGCCGCCGAGGGTGAGAGCAACGAAGGCGCGGCACTGCTGCCTGGGCCTAGCAACGTTTCGAGTAGGAGATCGACTACTAGAGGCCTCCTGGATGGGGTCGGAGTAGCTGGGGTCGGAAGATCGCGCCGCATCGCCGATGCATCGGCGATGCACCAGCGATGCATCGTCGACGTGGTCGATGCACTGGCGACGTCGACGTGAAGCAAATCGGGCTGCACATCGAGCCGCATCGGCGATGCATCGGCGATGCGGCGCGATCCTCCGACCCCATCTACTGCGACCCCGTCCAGGAGGCCCAGAACTGCTGAGCTGATTTAACCCAGGCTTGGTTTCCATCGTCGAAGCTACCACGACAAGTCAACGGCACTTCGTAGATCTACGACCGCCCTGCCTGGTGTTCGTGGATTCTGCCCCCCCGCCCCCCCCAAAAAAAATTGTGGGGATCATCAATTCTGTCGTCGTCGATCTCCCACTGGAAGGTCGGGGCCGGCGGAGGCACAAGCCGCGACGAAGGGCAGTGGCCCCAAGGGCAGCGGGCCCCAGACCCCGGAGCTCTCCCGAGGACCGGCTCTTCCTCCCGAGATCGCTCTGTCGACAACCTCGGCGCCCATGGAAGGCCGTAGGCAGCCCGAACTCGGGGATCTTCTGACACGGGTCAATCCAGACCCGGGTCAGCAGGAAACCAAAAAACTGCAATGCAAGGAACAACAACTGCAACGCAGGTGCTCGCAAACCCGGGTCAGCCAATATGCGCGGCAGCCTCGCGGCCACAAGCGGCTCGCTAACCCGGGTCAGCCAGAGGAGGCAGATCTGGCGCTCTGGCTGACCCCCGCTTGCGTTGACCCCCGTCTCAAGGCTCCCGACGAACACGGCGAGAAGCTCTTCCGGGACCCCTCTCCCCCACGGACCCCGCCTGCCCCCATGCCGGATCCGATCGGTCCCGACCCCCGCCATGCCAGCGCCGATCCTGAGCTTCACCTCCCAGGAGTGTAACAGTGGATATGTCGACCCCTATCCCAGGCTTTGGGAGGTTTTCGAATGGACAAAAAAATTGGGGCCCAACCCTGGGATATACGACGGGGGCGCGTCCATCCTCGAGAGGGTTTGTGCGAATAGCCCCCTTGGGGTGTATCCCAGGGTCTCCCTCCTTTTCTGAGCGGCTTTATTTTTCGTCGAAAAGTCGGGGGTCGGGGGAGAAAAATCGGCTGCGAGAGTGTGCTCAGAACCGTCGCATTCCGCCCCTGACCCGGGAGCCAGGGGTGGGGCACTCGCGCGCCGGCGCCGGCACGTCGGGCGGGCGCGCCGACGCGCGAGCGCCGTTCCGAGGCAGGGGCACGGCACGGCACGCTCGCGTCGTGACGCCCCTCCGAACTGGCTTCGGACACCGCATCCTCCCATGGCCGCGGTTTCCCGACGACGTGGAGCGCTCGATGCTGGCGGACTCCAGGCCGCTGGCGGCCTTCTCAACCGGGACGGCCCGCTCCGCGGTCGCCGGCGCGGCGCCACGACATGAACCTGCCGCAGCCGCTGTGGTGGGAGTGCGCCGCTGGCCAGCGTTAGGTCGGGCCTGTCCCCCTACAAGGGGATTTTCGACGGAAAATTTTTTTTTAAAAAAAAAAAAAAAAAAACAAAAAAAACAAAAAAAAAAAAAAAAAAAAAAAAAAAAAAAAAAACTGTGTTTGATGTGTTGACCTTTTTGGGGTATTGTTGAATTTTTTCGTCAAGAATCCCCCTGTAGGGGGACACGCCCGACCTCAGGCCAGCGCCGATGGGAGGCCGGCACCATGATCCGAGCCGAAGCGGGCCCACCGCTTCGAGCAGGGAGCGAAGCTGGCGCTGGAGCGAGAGCACCATTTTTAGGGGAACGACAAATGACATAAACATAAAAACTCGGAGGTCCGCGCGGATTTCTTGGATCGGTGCTGGACCCCCCTAGGCGGCGCCTCCGGCGCCGCCCCTGGCGCGCTCCGCGCGCCAGGGAGGGCGTTCCAGCGCCGATCCGAGAAGTCCGCGCGGACCTCCGAGTTGTTATGTTTATGCCACTTTTTGTTTCCCTAATTTTTCACACAGCCCAGATCCGCGCAGCATCAGGATCGTCGGCGGTGGGCTCGAGAAGCCCGAGCTGCGGGCGGAGCACCCCCCCCCAGACGAAGCGGTTGCCGCTGGCTCTCCCGAGGTGCCGTTCTGAGCACAGGCTCAGAGCGGAGCCAGGCAAGCAAGTACAGCCAAACAGCGCGAATCAGGATGAGTCATTCCCAGTCGCGGCATGTCACTCCCTGCTCAAACAATGGCATACGACGTGCAGGCAAGAAAGCTAACGGCAGCGGACTGAAACGAACATGAGACTAGAACGAAGATAGGGCACGCTCTTCGAAATTACGCGCGCACCGATTCGTCTGTGCAGGGCCGGGAAATAATACAATTCGGGTGCATATATGTTGCACACATGACCCGTCCTAGCAATACGGCTTGAAGGTTCGCGTAACCACTCGCGGATGGAAAAACTTACTGGCGTAGAGGAACACTGTCAGCTGAGACAGTCTAAAGCAAGCCAGTAAGAGGGTTCAAATAGCTCTAGCTCCGCAACTACAGGCAAACACAACAAGTGATGTGCGCCAGCTGGCTTGGAAATTTCACAGGCCAGCCTGCGGCGCAGGAGTGCGGCAAGCGTAGGCTCCGCTTGGCATGCAGAAGCCCGCTAGAGCGCCATGTGGAAGGCGCGAGCGCGCGACAGCTACCAGAGCCGCGTGCTTCATCGCCCTGCGCCTTGCCGCTCGTGGACGCGGCGCGGGCTGCCACGTCAGATCAGCTGACCACGCGACCGACCTCCTTCAACTTGATCTGGAGATGCTTACTTGCGCGCGACGCCCACTCGGGGAGTTGCTCGTGCCCGGATGCTCCTGGCACCAAAGATGTCTACAGCGTGCCCCTCGGACAACCCACTCAGAACCCCGCGCGGCGAGTCACACATGAATGAATGACGTGTGAATGTGTGTGTCAAACGACCGAGAAGGACAAACACATTACCCACACACCACACACACACACCGCTTGATCCCATACTTCGTCTCTGCACATACTATTGTACCGCATTTGCCACGGCCTTGCTCAATCTAAGATCTGCCTCGAATTCCCCACCGCCTCTCGTCCTTCAAGGTCTTGGCCTGCTCCTTCTTGTTATCAACATTCCTTTTTCGATCTTTTCTCAGGCTTGCTTGGCCGCCCCCTCTTCCTCGGCTTGAAAATTACTCCGACGGTAGGACCCCACACGAGAATCTGTTTAGCTTACCGTTTGCCCTTTCCTCCTCCCCCTGGCGGACACCCTCTCCTCCCGCCCTCTGCACTGCCCTCTATTCCTCCTTCTATTTCTTTGCCTCCTTCTCCTCCTCCTCCCCCTTCTCCTCCTCCTCCTCCTCCTCCTCCTCCTCCTCCTCCTCCTCCACCTCCTCCTCCTCCTCCTCCTCCTCCTCCTCTCGCGCCACCTCCTCCTCGTCGTCGCCCTCCCCCATGCCCCTTCCCTCCTCGTCCCCCTGCCTCTTCTCCACGTGCACCTCCCGTTCCCCCTGGTCGTGGCAATCAACTCGATTTTCCTCGGCGCCGTCGCCGCGTCGGCCAGCGCGCGCGTTTGCCGACGGCTAGATCGCGAAGCCGTCGGGGCAACCCTTCGGGCCAAGCCGTTGGGACAACCTCGCAGGCCGCAGGGGCGCGGGAGCCAGTCGTTGGGGCAACCCCGCGGGCCCCCAGGTGCGCGCCGCGGCGCTCAGGCGGGTGGCAGCGCGAAGCCCAGCTCTGCCGCGAGCTGCTCCGCCTCAGCCCTGGAGCCCACCGCTCTCTTGTCAAACTCCTGTAAATCCTTCCGCAGGGGCGCCGGCGGCCCGCGCTCCAGGAACTATCGCGCGGGCGGCCGCAGGATCAGCATGTTCCGCGCGCACGTGGCGCGGGAGAACATCAGAGGTGCAGCCGCCACATCTCGTCCGACATGCCCGTGCGGCCAGCGTCCTCATCCCTGGCGCAGTCGACGGTGACGCCCTTGCGCAGCGTCTGGCCCTGCGACAGCGTGGAGGTCAGGTAGGACGCGTGCGTCAGGGTGAGCCCCGAGCGGCGCGCAGTGCGCGCCCCCGAGCTCTGCCACGTGAACTCCTGCTCGCTGGGCCTGAACATGAGCAAGCTCCTGGCCAGCGCCTCGGCCTCGCCCTCGTCGCCAGCGCCATCGGCGCGCTGCTGCAGCGCCTCGGCGACCTCCTTGTAGATCGGGGACTCCTGGAAGCCGTGCACCTGCAGCCAGATTCCCTGCGGTCGGTAGCGGGGGCGGAAGAGCTGGCCTGGCGCGCGCCCCAGGTAGTCCCGCTCGTCGTCTGCGTGAAACTCGAAGGACACGACGGTGGCCCGTTGCTCCTGCACGAGCCCCAACTTCTTCTCCAGCTCCTCCTGCGCGGCCGTGAACCGGACCTCCACGCCGACGTGTGCCGGTAAGACGCCGTGGATGTCCCCGGTCTTGTGCGTGTTCGGAACGTTCAGGAGGCGCCGGCCTGCGTCTGGGTCGCCTTGAATCGCGCCGCATTCGTCTACGGCCCGCAGGAAAACGAGGGGGGCGCCGAGGCGCCGCGCGTCGCGACGGGCGCGCGTGTTGATCCACCTCGCCAGCGTCTCCCAGTAGATGCCCATGCCGTAGCCGAGCCGAAAGTTCTCGTGCTGGTGCCGAGGGCCCAGGACGCCGTGGTTGTCCGAGGCCAATGTCTTCTCCCAGGCAGACCAGACCTCTGGCGGGAAGCGCTTGCCCTCGCGCATGCAGCCCAAGAACGTGATCAGAGGGTCCCCTGACTCGAAGCTCTTCGTGCCTTTCAGCTCGAAGACGCAAGGGGTGTGTTTGAAGACGTTGATGGCGTGCTGAATCTCCAACGTCGGCGGCTCCTTGTACTTGTACGAATCGTCTTCCAGGAGCTCGTTGGGGCCCGCTAGGAGGCCGATGCTGCCGGTGGGCTTCAGCTGCAGGAAGTCGCCGAGGCGCAGCACGATGGGGGCGCGCCCGAAGTGGTGATGCGGCCGGTGGACTCCTGCACGTCATGCGTGTCACTGCGTCCGTGGCAAGCGCGAAGGTCCAGCGCGTTGTGCAGAGCAGCCGCCACCATGCTCACCTCCTCGATGACAAGTACGCGGACGTGCTCCCACAACCACTTCAGCCTCTTCTGCATGCCCCCGTCATGATCTTCGCGTTGAAGCACTTCTGGACTCGCGGGGCACAGGCGTTGTGCAGCGCTCTAGCCTTCACAGTCCCCGTGGAGATGTTCTTCGCCTGCGCGTTCGAGAAGGCCGCGACCATCTTGGCGCCCTCGTCCTGCGCCGACGAGGGTCACACATACTCCACCACTGGGAAGACGATCTTCTGCACAACGTGCGTCTTCTCCGAGCCGCCCTGGCCCAGCAGGAGCAAGTGCGTCACTTTTCTCTCGCTCCAGGGCTTCTTCTGCATGTCGCCCTCCAAGGCGTCGTCGCAGGCCATGGCGAACTTGGCGACGAAGAGCGCCTGGTCTCGCGTGGGTCTCTCGTTCTCCGGCAACCCAGCGACCAGGGCGGCGATGCACGCGCTGGGCGTTGAGTACGCGCTGCTGGCAAAACTGGCCGCAGCGGGGTCGCCGCCCAGGCCGCCTGCGCTCTCGCCCTCGCCGTCCAGAGCGCCTGCGTTGTCCTCGTCGCGATTGCCTTGGAGGCGTTCGTCGCGCAGGTTTGCCCGGGCGTGTCTCTCCTCGCACGCTGCGGTCACCAGAGGTCGGTGCCCGGTCGCGGGCGCGGGAGCGGTCGCGGCCTCCGTCGGCTCGGGCGCGCCCGCGCCCTCGCGGGCCGCTCCGGACATGCGCGGGGGCGCGAGGAGCTCCTTAGCCAACTTCGTGAGGCGCTTGCGGCGCGCGAAGTTCAGCACGTCCGCCATGTCCTGCTCCCCGTCGATGCCCCAGGTCGGGACCGGCTGGAAGTGCGCTCGGACCGCCAAGGGGGGCGCGCCCGGGTGCTCTGCGCCCTCGCCCGCCTCGGCGCCCTCGTCTTGACCGGCGCCCCCGCCGGTGGTCGCCTTGAGGTGCGCGCTCTGCACGGCCGCGTCGCTCTGGTACTGCCGGGGTTTCTTCTCCTCGCGCGCCAGGGCGATTCCCTTCAGGTTGGGCGCCACCTGCATGGCTATCATGGAGACGTACTGGTGCACCGTCGCCCTGGGTTTCTCTCTGTCGGGGCAGTGGGCGGGGTCCAGCGAGTCGTCCTCCTCGTCCTCACCCTCCGCCCGCGCCTGGTGCAGCGCGAAGAGTTCCTCCTACACCTCTTGTGTCTCCCAGATCGAGGGCCACTCGTGCCGCGCGAGGAAACGGACCGCGGCGACGCGGGCCTCCGCGTCCGCCTGAGCCTCGTAGTGCGCCCAGGCTCGCGTCAAACAGGTTGACCCGCGCACATTCATGTCACGGGGCGCGCCGGGGGCCTCCATCAGGGGCGCGAGCGCCTGCAGCATACGCTCGTCCTCCGGCGTCTCCGAATTCTCCACCTCCAACGGCCTCAGGAGCAACTGCTTGAACAGGCAGGCAGTCTCGCAGTCTTTGTTCATCGTCGGCATGGGGAAGCCCTCGAAGAGGGGCACGCGGAGCTCGGGGGCCAGGCGTTTTTTGTCGGCGGCTGACGGTGGGTTACCACCGCCAACCCGGACGCAGGGGCTTCCCCTCTGCGCCCGATTCATTCGGCTGACGATGGGTTACCACCGCCAGCCTGGAGACAAGGGGTTACCCCTGCCCCCGATTCGGCCGAGGATGGGTTACCACCCCCGGCCCGGACGCAAGGGTTCCCCCCTGCGCCCGATTCGGCTGACGATGGGCTACCACCGCCAGCCCGGACACAAAGGGTTACCCCTGCCCTCGATTCGGCCGAGGATGGGTTACCACCCCCGGCCCGGACGCAAGGGTTCCCTCCTGCGCCCGATTCGGCTGAGGATGGGTTACCACCGCCAGCCTGGAGACCAGGGGTTACCCCTGCCCCCATTCGGCCGAGGATGGGTTACCACCCCCGGCCCGGACGCAAGGGCCCCCCCTTGCGCCCGATTCGGCCGCCGATGGGTCACCACCAGCGGCCCGGAGACAAGGGGTTACCCCTGCCCCCGATTCGGCCGAGGATGGGTCACCACCCCCGGCCCGGACGCAAGGGGCTACCCCTGCGCCCGGCCGCTGTCTCGTCGTCGTCATCGTCAGCTCTTCAGTCGCCTTTTCGGGCACGCAGGCCCATGACTACAACAAGTTTGCCGACGACCAGCTCAGACGATGCTACCCGCACTTCTCAATCGCCCTCTCGGGCACGCAGGCCTATGACAACAACAATTTTGCCCGCGACCAGTTCAGACGGGGCTACCCGCACTTCGTTCACAGACGAAGCTCTCGCCTGGTAATTCCCTGGTTGTCAGGCCGCAGGAGCGAATTCCCCTTCGATCTTCAAAATCGGTCCCAACATCCGTCCTCATACCTCCAAGTGGCGACAGTTAGTAGAATCCGATGACCCGCCTCGGATTCGAACATGACGCGCGGGCCCCATAGGGAGGGGGCTGCCGCCTGAGATTTCCTCACAATTCACTCACAGCCGAGGCTCCCGCTCGATACTTCCTCCATATTCAAGCCTCAGGAGCCCAAAAGTGACGACAGTTACAGGTTTCAGGATGACCCGCTCGGATTAGTAACATGATCTGCGGGCCCCATAGGGAGGGGGTTCCCGCTGGAGACTTCCTCCAAATTCACTCACAGACGAGGATCCCGCCTGATACTTCCTCCGTAATCAGACCTCAGGAGCGCAAGAGCGACGACAGTTACAAGTTTCAGGATGACCCGCTCGGATTACCAACGTGATCTGCGGGCCCCATAAGGAGGGGGTTCCCGCCTTAGACTTCCTCACAATTCACTCACAGACGGGGCGCCCGCGCGATACTTCTTTCATATTCAAACTTCAGGAGCCCAAAAATGACGACAGTTACAGGTTTCAGGATGACCCGCTCGGATTCGTAACATGATCTGCGGGCCCCATAGGGAGGGGGCTCCCGCCGGAGACTTCCTCGCAATTCACTCACAGACGAGGATCCCGCCTGATACTTCCTCCGTATTCAAGCCTCAAGAGCCCAAAAGTGACGACAGTTACACGTTTCGGCTGACCCGCTCGGATTACCAATATGAAATGCGGGCCCTATAAGGAGGGGGCTCCCGCCTGAGACTTTCTCGCAATTCAGTCACAGACGAGAATCCCGCCTACTATTTCCCCCATGTTCAGACCTCAGGAGCCCAAAAGTGACGAGAGTTACAAGTTTCGGATGACCCGTTCGGATTACCAACACGACGCGCGGGCCCCATAGGGAGGGGGCTCCCGCTCGAAGCTTCCTCGCAATTCACTCACAGACGAGGCTCCCGCCTGATACTTGGCCCAAAAGTGACGACAGTTACACGTTTCGGATGACCCGCTCGGATTACCAAGATGAAGTGCGGGCCCCATAGAGAGGGGGTTCCCGCCTGAGACTTCCTCGCAATTCACTCACCGACGAGGCTCCCGCCTGATATTTCCTCCAAGTTCAATCTAAGGAGTGATTGATGACGAAGTGATGAGTCACTGAGTGCTGGTGATGAATGATTGATGAGTGAGTGATGATGATGCGGATGATGATGATGATGACCAGTGAGTGGGTGATCGAGAGATGATGATGGTGATGGTGACGATGATGTTGAGAGAGGCGGCGGTCCTACCGTCGGTGGACCACTGCCTCCGAAGCCTACTCAGGATGAGTGAGTAATTGAGTGAGCGAGTGGGTGATAGCGTGGTGAAGATGATGAGGATGATGATGATGATTAGTGATGACGGTGGTGGTGGTTGATGGTGATGATGATGGTAATGATGATGAGTGTGTGCGTGTGCTGACGATGATGGAGGTTGATGGTGATGCTGATGGTGATGATGGTGAGTGCGTGTGAGAGAAAGAGAGAGAGAGAGAGAGAGAAAGAGAGGAAACGGGGGGTGTGAGATCCTGCGCGGCGTGTGCAGAAAAAAACAAGAACCCCACTTTGGAAGTGGGGAAAAAAACGGCCTTGAAGGAAACGGGCCCTGTAATCCGGGACCGATGCGTCACCCTGAACTATTGTTTATAATCCCTGGGTTCGTGTAGGGCCCCGTTCCTCTCAGGAAACCTCCAAGACCCGTTTGGCGAATGCAGACCCCGCGTGAGCGTGGGCGGCCACCAGGCGACATCTCGTCGGACCCAATCAGCGCACGGACACCCACAGGCGCCGACCAGGCGAAACCTCGGCGGACCAAGCCAGCGCACATGGCGTCTTCGTCGGCGCCCACGCGGGCGCCCGCCAGGCGAAACCACGGCGGACCCCGCCAGCGCGCGAGGCGCCCACGCGGGCGGCCACCAGGCGAGGCGAAACCTCGGCGGACCCAGCCGGCGCGCACGGAGCGCCCACACGGTCCCCACCGGGCGAAGCCTCGGCGGACTCGGCCAGCGCACGTCGCGCCCCAGAGGCGCCCACGGGCGGCCACCGGGCGAAACCTCGGCCGACCCGGTC